TTTATTGCATAGTTTGTTCAACTCTTTATTATTTAAAAAGTTATATTGGAATAAAATTATTAAAAAATATTCATTCATGAATATCATTATGTCTGACCTTTAATTCGCTTGATTTGTAATAGACGTCGCACTAGTAATATTTATTTTTGAATGGACTCGGGTTATTTTTAACGAACAGTTGTTGATTGTGGTTAGCTTGGTATAACCTGATTCTGAATTGGTAGTCATGGTTTCTGTTAATTGATACGTAAATATTTAAAGAATGTCATGATCATTTTAGATATATTTTTGTATAAAAGTATATAAGTAACAGTGCAAGTCCATACTATTATATAATTTTAGAAAATATGAAATATAAACAATTTTTAGTTTATTTAAAACCATAATTTATAATTAATATACCTATATTAGTATCTACGGTTAGTGGATAAGAGGGAAAACATTTTTATTTTCTATTCTACTAGAAAAAGTAATTCGTGACAAAAAATATTTTGCTTTTTAATTGAATATGTTTGTCATGAAAAACTGTAATTTATATATATACAGGGTGATCAGAAATTTAACAAAATTAATAACGTTGAAGAATAAACTGCTTTTGTTTTTGATAATATAAAAAAATGTTAATAAGAAAAGTTGTTCATAACGGAAAGTTACGTTATAATTACGATTTGTGAATAAAGCGGCTTACTTTGGTATAAACAGAAATGGAAAATATTATATTTTTAATAATTAATATTAAGTAATTCTTGATAAAAAAAATTTGCATATTAATATAAATAGAATTTTAATTGTGAATATACATAATAATGAGAAAATATAAAAAATATGTACGATATACTTATTTTGTCCAAAAAATGTGTAAAGAATTATGTACAAAAGGACGATTTGAGTCTAAATTTTTTTTATGAGAAATAGGTAATTCAGTTCACTTCAATTGAAAAAATAGTTGTCTTATAGGTACTTTAATACCTCCAATATAAACAGAAATTCTGTGGAACAGTGTAGTTTAATAAATATGTAAATAAATGAAAGTAATAAAGAAATAAATAGAATAGGTACAGTAGAACAGGAAAAAATTTAAAAAATCATAAAATAAAATTATTTCTTTTTATTAATTTGAGCTTCTATAATATATTCTGGATCCATACATCTTTTTCCCTGTGGAATATTTTTGTATATTATTTCTGGTAGTATACAATTTTTATAAAATTGTTCCAAATTTGTTGCCATTGATTTTTTCCATAATTCTTCATATTTCTTAATTTGTTCTACATAGAGTGGGTTGTTTTCACCACTATAGGTATATTACGAAATAACATATAGACTTCTTCCGGTTATATTTAACTGTCTCTGTATCTGAAAGTAAGAAAAGAATTTTACCAGATAATATTTGTTATAAACATAGATAATTATACATTTTTACCTATTATGCTTTTGATTTACCATAATGATATATCTAGTCATATATAGGGTGCCACAATAGTGCGATAAAGTTTAGTATAACTGCCTGTAGTAGTGATACGAAAAAAGTTACTTGCTCGGATTCACATTTTATTATTATTTCCATTATTCATTATTTTCAGACCGAATTAAACGTTCAGAAAATCTTGTTTTTGGCCTGAAGATTTTGCCCTATACAACTATAACTGAAAATAATTATAAACTTTGTCACACTATTGGAACAGCCTGTATGTGCATTGCAACGACAATATGTCATATTTATATTACGGCTAAGTAAGCGGAAAGTCCATTGTCGCATATGTAATTTTTATTTTCAAATAATCAAATACAATACCTACATATTTATTTTAATATCTATTATTTACTTGAATTTAGTACTAAGTACAACTATGCCTAGCAAATTGTAATACTTACTCTGTTAATGTTTTTTCCTTCATATAAAAAATAGTAAACTCCACAAATAAAATATTTCGCAGCCACAACGCAACAATAAAAGATAACAGCTCAAAGATCCATACAAGAAATAATTACATTCGCACCTACTCTGGTCCGAATCCATATAAGTACTAAAATGTAGAAAATAATATGAAATAAAACTTTTAGTTGGCTGCAAATATTATAAATTTGTACAACCACTTGCCATCCTCCTTTTTTGTAAATATGTACATAATAATATGTAGAAGATAGAAAATAGAAATATTTTCAGAACAAAAAACCGGCGGCCGCAAATTGGAGTTTTTATTATTTTATTACCCTTCTCTTTTCATATGCAATTATGAGATAGCAAGAGAGTGGGATGGACGTATAGGCCGGACAACTCATTATCGTGCACGTGTGCGTGCACCTGGCATTTTCTCGTTTTTTTTTTTTAGGTGTATTTTGCCGGAATTTGAATAAATGAAATAATCGTACTATTTTTACTATAAAAGTATTTCCTGTAGCGACATCTATATGAATATTGTAGTACTTTGTTAGATGAAACGGGACTTCAATTTCATTTCTTAATTTTTAGTAAACTCATCAGGTTCAACATAAATTATTCAACACGAGTTCAGTACGTCTAGACCAAAACAAACAACATTTCGCAGCCAAAAGTTGCGCCAATTATTAATTTACACCTTGGTACATTCTCAGAAGGCGGACCACAATAGCTGGCGGCTAGCTGCCGTCAAAAGCCGACCTGCGAACTCCTTAACGACCATCTCGAAGTCCTGTGAGGTCTCGACGGCCATAATTCGCAGGAACACAGTTGCACAACCCAAAGACGACTTTTAGGGCTTTGAAATTACCTCGTGCCTGTCTAATTTACTTCCAGCCGCACAAAAAAAAACCTTTATTAAAGCCAAAACATCTATTAAAGTCGGGGTGCGCTCCTTCCTCGGTTGCGCCCGCCGACCGCGACTTAATGAGGCGCTAAGAAGAGCCAGGGAGTGACCCCGGGAATGTAAAATGCACCGTTTGACCTCTCCGCTAAGATCATAAATCGGGGAGGTCGTATAGAGACCGCACTAGGAAGCGTCTCGGCAGCATGCCAGGATGCTCTCCGCCAGATATCCACGGCCGTTTCGATTTGGAAATTGAGGGGATGTGTATTGTTGGTACTCCAACGAGTGTGTAAGTTTAACAGCTCTTGAAACTTCGACAACGCCGTCTGGGTGGTCGAGGGTGTAATATTTTTCATCAGCCGCAGAAGGTCTATTTATTTATTTATTTATTTATTTACAAATAAACTGCCCTGACAGACAGTTCCTATAACAAAGCAGGACAAAAAAGAATAGAAGATGATTCTAAAAAGTTTTGTCTTTAATAGATTTGACTGAAGATGTGAAAACTTTAATGTCACGAAACTAGTAGCGATTAGGGGATTCTCGACCAATGTTTATATGAAAAAATATTCTTATTTTTGGTAATAGAATGAAGTGGTAAATTATTGGACATTAGTTACGAGACACCCTGTTTATATCTACAGGGTGATTTTGAATAGAGTAGCACAAACGCTACCAGTGCATCTAGATGAAAAAATAAGGCGAATGAACTAAATATACCTTAGTCAAAAGTTGCATTCCTGAGGCATTACAGGGTCTTGAATGTTGTAGAGCCAACCAATATTTCCTTCAATTTATCTTGAACGATGTGGCGTAAATCATTTATATTTGGTACATACATTTGTACAGTGCGGACAAAAACTTTCTATTAATATTGTTTAAATATATCCACCAGAGGCGCTGCTGTCGACTACATGCAACATATTACTCCAAAGAATTTTTCACCCTGTATGAAAATACATATCTTATTTACATTTTCGGACGTAACAACTAAAAACAAACATTTTTTCTCTCTTGCATTTTTTCGATAAACGCGATAGTTTTTTTAGATAATTTACGAAAAACAAACTTCGGAAATTTTACAGCGCCAATGGTTGCAGTCAGGTTGCAGTAATACAAAAACATCAACACACCACTCATTAATAGCTAAAGGAAAACGCTTTTCTGGTAAAGTAATTTTAATAAATTTATTTTGAAGGAACAGTAAGTATTCGTTATGTAACAAATCAAGTTATTTTAAGTGTCTAATTTAAATAATAAATTTTAATTTAAAACTACCTACTGTAATCTCGAATGTAATACTAAGGAACATAACGTTATTTTAAAGTAAAAAGTTTCTAAAGAATATTTTCAAAGTAGTTCCCATTTTTCTGTAAACACAATCTAACACGACGATTAAAATTATGACGTACTCTTGCAAATATTTCTGGGTTGTTACGAATATCGTCAGCTGCGAGAAAGATTTTTTGACGCAATTCTTCAACAGTATTAACAGGAGTAGCATAAACAAGACTTTTCAGTTGTCCCCATAAGAAATAATCAAGTGGGGTAATGTCCGGTGAACGGGCAGGCCAACTAACGGGTGCATCGACACCACGACCTATCCAACGTCCCGGAAAATTTAAATTCAACCATTGCCTGACAGCTAAGGTACTATGTGCCGGAGCCCCGTCATGCATGTACCACATAACTTGTCGTACACCTAGTGGTATATCCTCCAATAATATTGGGAGATTTTCATTTAAAAATCGAAGATATTCAAGAGCTGTCAGTCGACGGGGAAGAATAAATGGACCTATTAGAGCATCTCCAACAATTCCTGACCATACATTTACACTAAAATTGTGCTGAAATCTTGATGGACATATTTCATGGGGGTTTTCATCAGACCATGTATGACTATTATGATGGTTAACTAAGCCATGTCTTTGAAAACATGCCTCATCGGTGAACAAAATATGAGATAAAAAATTTAAGTCGTGTCTGGACATGTTAAGATACCACTGGCAAAAAACAATCCTTGCAGGTAAATCATTTGCAGTTAATTCTTGAACCGGCTGGTGGTGAAAAGGGCGTAAAAGGTTATCATGAATCAAGTTCCAAACAAGGCTTTGCGAAACGTTGTACTGTGTAGCCAGTCTTCTTGTACTTGTTTGAGGATTTTCTTCTAAATTGATAAGTATAGCTTCTTCAAGGTTTACATTTCTGATATACCGTCTTTGTCCATTACCCTCACGCTTAGGTTGAATTTGGCCAGTTTCTCGCAACCTTCTTTCCACAGCTGAAAAAGTTTGCCTGTGGAAAACCCGGCGATTTGGATATCTCTCATGGTACAATCTTGTTGCGGCAGCACAACTTTTGTGGCATTCAAAAAATCCTTGGATCAACATACTCATCGTTAGTAAAATTTGCCATAATTAAACAACTATTATTTGAAACCGTTGATGACACTGACACATCAACACAAAAATAGCAAATTGTTTACTCAGCAAATTTGTTTCCGATTTACCAGGAGCAACTATGATGTTGGCGAAGTAGCGACAGCAGCGCCTCTGGTGGACATATTTAAACAATATTAATAGAAAGTATGTGTCCGCACTGGACAAATGTCTGTACCAAATATAAATGATTTATGCCACATCGTTCAAGATAAATTGAAGAAAGTATTGGTTGGCTTTACAACATTCAAGACCCTGTAATGCCTCAGGAGTGCAACTTTTGTCTAAGGTATATTTAGTTCATTCGCCTTATTTTTTCATCTAAATGCACTGGTAGCGTTTGTGCTACTCTATTCAAAATCACCCTGGATAAGGGTACGGCTGAATTAAATTGACCCTAATTTTTTTGCTACCCTGTAAATTGACGTTTCGTGTTAGTGCATTTATTCCCCTATCAGTTTTAAGCAAAAAAAATTTTACTTGCTCGAAATCTCTCAGGCTTTCCGAGTTATTGGCACACCATTATATTGAATTTTAGCTCTTTACAATTTTTTGATACAACTAACAATTTTCTTGAAAATGCTGACAATACTACCGTTTAGTCAGCAGCGATTTTCTCGAAAACGATTAGTTGTATCAAAAAAATGCAAAGAACTACAATTTAAGAACAGTGCATTTAAGCAGCAGTGAATTTAAATTTTTAAATTTGTCAGGTAAATAGTTAATAAAATTTGAAAATATGGTCTGCATTTAACTTTTCATTAGCCAATATCTCGAAAACGGTTATTCCGAGCGATTTTGACCAAGTATACCTATTTTTGCTTAAAATTGACACGAGAATAAATTTAATTCAGGTGGCGCCCTTTACAAGTAGCGTCAAAAGCAATAATATATTTTTATTTAGCATGCTAAAAAAAACCTGTATCTCAAGTTTTATGCAACATTCAAATCTGTTTGGAAATTATTCCTAAAAAATCGAAAAAAATTAAAAACTTTAACGCCCTGTATATCGAAAACTAAGCATTTGTGGACGTTTATAGGAAAAAAGTCTTATTTTGATCTCAAAAATACGCCCCTAAATTCTTTGTACTGAATTTTGAATCACCCTGTATATAGATTAGATTTCCTTCGGTGCGGTTGGTATAACAAGGTAAGAATAATTTATTTTGAGCAGCTGTCAACGCGACCCAGCATAAAATAATCTTATTCTCCGACAACTTGAAAAATATCCTTTTAACAATTATACTCGTAGATAGTTACAATTTGTACAGAATTTTATTTCTCATCGGTTGCTATGAAAGTTTCTAGACAACAAATGCGATAAGAAATATTTCGTGTTCGGTCCACAGTCGTAGACCAAAATATTAAGACGTTTAGAAAATATGACGTCCAGTAATGGAATATTAAATGTCATCAGTTTGTTTATTGTTATCGTGTTTCTGCATAATTTCATAGATATTTCCAATAAATCTGGTAATTAATATGGAAAGAGATAATTGAAAACTGATAGAAATAAAGAAACTTTCTCTGTTCTCGTTTAAAAATTGATGAAACCAGTCGAACTTGTTTCCAGTTTGTGTCCACACTATGTATATTTCAAACGTACACATTTCAGGACAACGCCGTTTGTCGAATTCCAACACAAAATGAAGCTCATTGGCTTCCTCAACTAGCTCTCTATCATAATTTCATAAGTTCGACGTTCATTGTACTTTCTAACCACGATTCACTTCCATATCCGGCAAGACATAGTGCTACTTTGATTGAAATCAGAACATTTTCATGTATGATTCGACTAGCTCAACTGGAATTTTCAACTTCTATCACTGTATAAATTATACATGGAACACGAACAGTTCCTGTGAAACTACCTGTTAGAACGTCACAGGCCATTACATTTCAAAATACTTCAGGATCCAGTCGGACATAGAGTAATTCATGTGTTAATAACTCTAGTTTGCACTTAGAACTAAATTATAGGTATTTTATAAAAGAATCGGCAACAAAGTTTGATATCGGTTGCACTGTGACGACTCAAACTCATTCTGTCTTTCCTTCGCCAAAAAAATGTACAACAATGTAAAAAAAATTACAGTAAAAGCTAAATCTAGTTGCCTTAGCGAGAAATTCCAAAAACCACCATGCAAAAATGTGATAACTTATTTATTGTGAAGTGTTAAATCACGTGTATCTCAAGTTCAACAACCCAAGAACTTTGTTAACACTAAGAATAATAATCAGTTGCAATTCATTTTTTGTTGTTCTTATTGTTTTCCTCACTGCGCCCTCTTTTCAGTAGTTGTGGCGTTAAACGGTTATTATCACTTTTCGGTTGTCAGTTAACTAGAAAGTGTTTGTTAGTCGTCTTTTGTATGTGTAACATTTCGTTTACATTATTTTTACTATACACGAATATCATAACATAGCATTGATCTAAGGGAAAATGAAATCTAACCCTTGTGGTAAGTGGTACACAGACAGGTGTTAGAATGTTTCAACGCGTTTTGGATACTGGCGGTGTTTTTCCTCGCCTTGAACGAAGACACATCAATTTTTGTTCGTGCAGAAGAGCAGCTACTAGATCTAGTACAAGCTCAAGGAGAAATATGAACCAAACTGATGTGATGTACGTATTTAAAACAATCGCTTACATATTGAATATTGGAGGTGCTATTGCTTGCCGTAAGGTACAAATGCAGATAGTACATACGGTCGACGATAATTCCGATACCTACTAACACAACTGAATATCAAATTGGTGTATCTCAGACAACAATTTTAGATACTGGTAGTGTTATTCCTCGCCTTGGAAGGGCACCATAACAAGATCGTGTTCAACGAGTGCAGAAGTTGATAGTAGTAGATTTTCATGAATGTCAGCACTTAGGTTGTTTATGGAAGCAAATCGAAATAATTTGAGCGCAAAATTTTAGTTACATAACTAGCATGAGGTTCGTGAGGTTGCCATTTTTTTTCTTAATATCCAACAATAAATGTGGCATTCTCGGTGAAATTTATGTTGAATTAAATTGAAATGAATTTCTGTTCATATTTTTCAATGTGTTGCCAAATATTCAAACAATTCATTTGAGAATGTTACATGGCAAGAAATGAACGACATCATTGGCCTGCTCGTTCACCGGACATGATTCTCTAACTGGTTTTTGTGAGACCACTTGAAACCGTTACTGTATTTCAGTAAGATTTCACTTGTTTGGAAAACGATGTTGAAGATTTCCAACACTTTCTAACATGATTGTTTCTTATCTTTTACTTAGTACAAGGAGAACTTTATGGAAAGGTGGATTGGTGTGTGTATGGTGTGTAACAAAGCGGGGGATCACCCGGAAAACTTTATCGCATTTCCAGTGATATACCATTGTGAATATATCATTTAATTGAATCAAATATAAACTCCTTTTGGAATCCATACGATGATTTAGTGATAAAAAGTGCTCGACGACATAGTACTTATGATTGATTTATTCTGTTTTTTGATGGTAAGTTTTGCAAATGCAAAAATCAGCTCCTATCACTGAGATACTACCTTTTAGAATACAATTTTATCATGTCATGTAAAGTCATGTTGATTATATTAATACAGATTATGCTGATCTACTCATAGACGTATTAAACTATAGGTGAGATATATGATATAACAAAGTGCTACGTCGATAATTGCAATATTTAAAAAACTCTTCTGATATATGTGTAAGAATTTTTGGTTCTATTTAAAGCAGATATCTTGTTAGGGTTAATTAATTTCTATGTCTAAATGATATTTCTCTCAATATAAGTTTATCATGGTTTTTAATATAACATTAAGGTAATCATAATATGATTACATTCTTATATTATATTATAATTATTTGTAAATTTCAATGCAATCATATTTTAATTCGTTTTCACTGACGGACTATTGGAAATATATTAGCAGTTTTCTCAGTGTAGGACAGAAACAAATAACTTTTCTAAGCGCTCTTATAAAAGAATTGTTAAAAAGTTCGTTTTATTTAGTGGTATAAAAAAAATTTAAACATATTTTCCGTTTATTAGTTCAAATGCAAAAATAGAAAACAAAACCTTTAGGCAGCTATCCGCAAGTATGAATTGGTGATACAATGGGGTGATAAAATTTATTCTATGATGCAAAGCGCTCTATTCGCAGCGCAAAACAGTAGGTGGAAATAGAAATGTTTCTAAAGTTTATTACTTATTTCCGTAAGTGCTTTCCAGCGCATTGTGCACAAAGAAAGATAAAATGAATTCCGCGCAACCCGTTTTATAAGAAACTATATATTATGCACTTTTAATTTCACCACAACCGCTAAAATGCATCTACGGATCCATATTTTCCCGAGAGTCTTAGGAACAGCAATTTCTGTATATCAGGTTGCATGTGTGGATGGGTTGTGTAAATCCATAACTTTTCAGATGGTTTTTGTTCATTGAAAATGTAAATTAAATCGAACATAAAAAGAATTTCCCTTTTATACACTGCCCTTCTAAAATTAAACGAAATATTATAATTTTTCTGGAGCCGCACTTCATTTAGAGAATTTAAAGCGAGGAAAATTACTTCTTAAAAATCATTGCATCTACATAAACTGGTTTCGAATCATGAATATGTATATTTTTCCTCCTCGAAATATTTCACCGCAGAAATTTTACGCTCGACTTAGATGACAGCATCGTTAAAGGTATCCAAACTATCGTAATTTCTAGTTAATATTCACTCGGTACGTGCCATTATAACCGCGAAATTCTTTAAAATATCAAACAGAACATTACCGCAACCAATTCCCATCATTCCGCAACGCTTAGAGTCAAATACTGCACACGGAATAATTTCGCGTCAAACCGTAGGTTTGAAATGTCTGGGAATAAAATG